GTGAAAGAAGTCTAGATGTTTTATAGTGATCAAAAGAGAAAAGGAAATGTGGTTTTTCAGAACTTCACAGGAAATCAGGAAAATCAAATAATCCCAGATCAACCTTGCTCCTGAGTTGACAAAATCACTGGGTTACTAAATCAGACCTGTTATCTGAGTAGCTGTATATTGATCAAAGTCYTCTGGGATGGTCTGATGGATAAAAGACAGCGGTGAGGACTGGATAGGCGTATGCCTTACATGGCAAGTYCAGTGCTTAAATTTAGGATGGTCTAGAACCAGAAACTCCTTCCTCTGGCACAGAACTATGTTGTCCAGCAATGATCACAAGATGAGCTATGACTGGTATTTAATCTGAGGTCGAGGCACTTTGGGTAGATTATGGAATGGAGTATGACTTGAGTTCAGTYGCCAAATGGTCTCTTAGGGGTCCAAGAGCAGCTGCCTCTAGTTGAATCAAATAAATTGTAGTATTCTCTATATAGCCCTCTCTTCTAGAATTTTTGTGATTCCATTCTTCTCAAATCCTAAAGGGTTATYTAGAAAATTCTTTGACTAATATGACAGTTATTGAGATGTTTCCATCAGAGTTTTTGGTTTAACGACCTCCTCCAGGATAACAATTCTCAAATTTTTATCTTCATACAGCATTTTACTCTGACTTCCTGCCTCCTATTCGTGCTTCCCCCTTACTGGCCTCACTTGGAAGTCTTATAAGTGTCTCATGCTAAATGTATTCAAAGTGAAGATTAACCTTCTCACAAACTGTTCACCACTGATATTCTCTTCCTCAGTCAAGAGCAATGCCATCTACCCAGATGGTCAGGAGACGGTGGTTCAGGAGACACCAACTTCAGTCCCTCGGCTTTTKGTTGAACTCTCCTTGTGAACCTTGAAGTCTTAGAACACTTAGAACACTCTCACCCATAGGGCCCACCCATGGACATGAAGTTGTTCACTCAAGAACTTTCTAGAAGAGTCATTTTGCCCTAGATTGTGAGGCCTGCAGAAGACATTCTCTTTTTTTTTTTTTTTTTTTTTGTAGCACAAAATAGGCAGGACACAGTGAAAGTCAAAGACCTTGTTCTGCCTCCTGGGATTTCTCTCTACCTTCAACCTAGCAGTACCAAACAGGCTGTCATTCTCTGCATCTGTTCTTTCTTCACTAGAGGAAAAAGCTCTAGAATCATTTTCACTCTCTTTGCAGCCAGTTCACAGCCTGGCACATGGGAAGTATTCAGAGAATGTGTGAATGAATGAAGACATGGCACAATGAACTAATGAATAAAGAATAAAGAAACAAAGTGTCCAAGGAGGCACCACTCCAGCAGGCAGCCCTGGCAAACTGAACACACTGGCCCCAGCAGCAATCTAATGACACACCCTGCCCTCCTTGCCCAGCCCAGCCCAGGGAGGGTGGAGGCAGCTCAGGAAGAGTAATCCAGGAAGAGCTTAGGGGTCAGTGGAAATTTCTCACCAACAATCAACAACCAGTCTGACATTTATAATTCATTCTCTCTCTCTCTCTCTCTCTCTCTCTCTCTCTCTCCAGTCATTTTCCATGTTTTTTCCTCCTCTCTCCTTACCCATTTTTTTCAATTATGACTTCAAACACCAAGATTTGATATGCAGGGCACTGTAAAAATGTGTTTTTCCCATCAGTCCCAATGAAATAGTTTCCACTGTCTGTTTCCCCTGCAGATAGCAATCAAAGTCCGGGCGCAACAATAAAAAAGAAAGTCCAAACTCTTGACTGGTATAGAATCTAAAACTTGTCCTTGGAAAGCGACACTCAAGGGAATTAATCATAAACACTCTTGAGTTGGCCCAGTCTGTCGCTGTTGAATACAGGGTGTTTGGAATGATCTGTTTCTGGGAGCTGATTTTCCTATTCTTCCTGCTTAGTCTTCCCAGAAAGCCAAAATAAGAGATCTTTGAAGAACACTGCTCCCTGAAGACCTCCAGTGGTATCTCTGGGGTCTAGCATGGGCTTTAGATCTCACGGTCATTTTCTTTTACTGCATCCCCTGGCTATATCCCCTAAGCTCTGACAGCATTGTCACCTGAACTCTTCATTCTCTCAGACTGGTTGTCTTGGCATCACCAGGTCAATACCTGGTCCTAACACTTACTAGTTCCTTGACCTTGGACACTCAGTTCCATTTATAAAACTAGAGTACTAACCTGAGTCTCTAGTCTAGAGACTAAAAAGGGGAACTGGTCTTAAGCTGGTTGGAGGGACATTGTTTTGAATCCTTGTCAGTCTCTGCCTTCTCTGAGCTCTTATACCACTATTACCATGCTAACAGAATCCACAGACAGAATGGCCTTTAGAGATCATCAAGTGAAAAGTCTCATTTCAAGTGCTTAGTACTTGCACACACACACACCCCAACATCCCTCCCAACACAGAACACTCACATACCATATTATACCCACATACCACACTACACACACACCCACCACACATACACATCACACACTTGCCACTCAGAAAACATACTTCTTATACACCATAGTCCTAACATACACACACACATACAACATGCTACATGTATACTACCCCACATACCCACACACCACACACAAACTTTATAGTACACACACACATACACACACACACACATGCACACACAAATGCATACACATACACAGTTGGACACTTGGGCATTTGTCATTTCAAATTTCAAGGATGGCATGTCCCCTTTGCCCTTTTCTTATGAGCTGGTCTTTGTAACTAGGAAAGCAGCTCTGGTGCCAGAACAAGAGTTCTGAGTAAATATTCTGGGAAATAAATATAAAGAAAAGGGATATGCTGTTCTTGTAAAGTCTTTGGATCTTTGATGTGCTGAGACCCTATTTTCCATGACCACTGATGATCATCATAATAAGTCACATGCACCCTAATTCAGGCACCATGTTAGGGCATTACTCATAGGATGAATTCAAACCTTGCAATGTACCTCCCTGTGTGTGGCTCRTAAGCAATCAGGTTGCAGGGCAGCAGTCATCCTCAGACATTCTCTGCTGCCTGAGGTCCATGCAAAGGCTGGGCTCCGCCTCCAGCTTTGCTCACTAGCAACTAGAAGAACAAGTTCACTTAAATCTGGGGTGCCCTAGGATTAACTGATAAAGGAACACTATWTCAGTCTTTCTGTGCTTCATTCATGAATGTTCCAAAAAAATAAAAAATAAACKGGTGGGTAATCAGGGGTTAGGGCCATGGATCTCTCTAACATTTCATGCAACAGTAAACATGGCTAACATCTATRGTGCTGGTAGGGGACCCCTCCCAGAAGTCTATTATCATTCCAGAGCATGTGATGCTGGGTGATCTCAGTTCTAGCCTAGTGTCAGTAACATAGTTTTTTACTCAAAACACACAACATTTTCTGTAGAGACCAAATCAGCTATTCTCTGCCAGCCTGTGGTTGGCCATTTGACCTACAAAACCCAATCTAACAATTCATTCATGATGTCATTACACCACTGGGGCAGGATGAGTCCCTGAGATTTATGAAGGTACTGGGCTCCATGAAACTATGCAAGTAAAATTCTAGTGATATCACTTAGAAAGAAGTCTGTCTGCTTTGGGGTGACTTAGCCATGTAGATAATAATTAAAACTAGCTTAAGAGCACTTTAAGTATGATAAATCAAGTATATGTATTTGTAACATGTATGGAACTCCTGCAGTTCCAAAACAGTATAATACTTTGAAAAAACTGGCTCTGGACAGAATCAGCGTTTCCGTCTAAACTAGATTATATACCCTATGACCAACTTCCTCCCTTTAATTCACATGGTTGGTAGTTTCCAAAGTGCTTCTGTGTTCATCATTGTATTAGTCATTCACAATGACCTTGAAGGGTTATCATCTTTGTTTCCCTGATATGGAAATTATGGGTCACATAGGATAAGTAGCTTATCAAGTATCCCACCATCTATACCAGCAGAGGCAGAGCAGTGGGATTGCTTGGTGTTTGTGCCACTGCATTGTGCTGCCTCCAGCCAGCCCAAATTTGTCTGCAACTTAATACCAATAACCTTCTGGGGATGGCCTGGTATTATGCTCTGAGTGACTGGAAGAAGAAAGGGTGTAACTTCTGGGCATAGTCTTGACTCCAAAACTGCCCATAGGCAGACTCCTATTTCTATTTGACTCCAATGCATCTTTAAGTCTCACATAAATGCCATTTTTTCCAAGTGGCCTCCCTTGATATTCCATCTAAGTTAGGGGCTAACGTCTGTGGTGCTGGTATGGGACACCAACTTCCTCCCTCTCTCTTATATTCCYGTAGCATCTGTGCTTCCTATGTAGTCATATCATACCTATAATAACCTTCTTAATACTTTGCTGAGCTATAAAGCTCCATGAAGGCAGGGACCGTATTCAGCTATAATAGTTCCCAGCACTCAAAATAAAAGAACTCACCTTTCCCTCTCCTAAGAAAGTTTGGACAGGTCCAGAGACTGCCAGAACATCAATCAGAGAAGAAAACTTGCCCAAAGTACCCATAATGAAGTACACAAATACATTCAAGAAGGAGATCAACAGCTGGTCAAGTTATGTTAGCTGTTTGTCAGGTCTATATCCAGGTTAGGAGCCAGATAAAGGAACAGAGGCCAGGAGAGAGGACCTGGAGCTTCTGTTTACAGCAGGTTTAGTCACTCAAAGCTCCCTCTAGRGGCCAGAGCAGTGCCATCTCAGCAACAGGTTTGGGGACAAAGTTCGCAGTCCTCTTGCTGTTTTAGTCACAACAGATGGCTCTGTACCTTGACAAATTGGTTTCCTTCTTGTGGCATGTCCAACTGTTGCTGAAATCTCAGTCCTTGTCCCTGATGCCAATCCAATAACAAGGACACGTTTTTTGAGAAAAAGGAAAAAGAAGGTTTATGGCTTTGSTAGCCAAAGAGAAACACAGGGGATTCTGCCCATCTGCAGGAACAGGGGGCTTTTATAGAGGTGATTCAGAGAAAACGAGGTTAGAGAGAGATCAGGGAGGAGAAGTTTAGGAAAAGAATATCAGAGAAGATCAGGGACAAGAAGACCAGGAGACTAGGAAGAAGACGTTTAGGGAAAAGAAGATCAGGGAGGAGAAGACTGGGAAAAAGAAAAAAAATGTAAGTTTCAAAGTAGTAGGGATTGGGAGCTAGAGATAAATTTAGTGATGGAGTATCARGGCAGGAGGTGTGTTTAAAGAAAGCATTCTGCTAGAACACAAACATATAGGAAAGCCAAACTAGAATCAGGAACACTAGCTAAAATGCTAACATACAGGTGGGAACTAATGAGAATATGAATTAAAATGGAAAAAATTAGAATAGAATGAACAAAATTGAAATGGACTCTGAAGGCACATTTTGTTCAACTTGATCATTGATGAGGCATATATGATAGTATCCCCCTTTGACTCACTTTCTGTCTCCTGAGTACTTTTATATCCTTTACTCTATTGGAGTCATAAGAGAGCTGCTTATTAAATGAGCTAATAAACAAGGTCCAGAGGTCATCTGCCTGCATCCCACAGCTTCCAGTGGCTTGGCTGAGATTGCTGAGATTGCCGTTGCATGCCTCTTGGTCACCAGCTCCGGGCTCTGCAAAAAGCATCAGGCTATTGTGTAGCCTGGGGGTCAGGTTACAGGAATGAATCCACCTCACTTTCCCTAGGAACAAGCAGTCTTTGATCTTGTTTATTTATTCATTCGACAAACTTTATAGCAGTGCATTTCCCAGAAGAGAGATCCAGGGATTCCTTTCAGCTCTGAGAGACTGATAACAGCATTAGCAGCTGCTGCGGGATGCAGGGCTGCCCAGCACCACACAGGCTCCACTGGCTGTGAGGCAGGCTCCTTTGTCATGTTTACTGCTTTTCCTGATTACTGAAGAAATTCCAAGGTCATTGTAAAATATCTGAATAAGAAATATTAAAAAGATAAAAATAAAACATAGTTGGGTACTACTCATTTTTTTCTACAATAATAATAATTAATAAATAAATAAACATGGAACCCCTGTTAACTGCTGGGCACTTAGGCAAGACACCTTGATATAGAGCATTTGACCTTCACAAGAGTCCCAGGAAAGTACTGTTACTACCTCTATCCTACAGCGAAGGAAACTGAGTCTCCAAAAAGTAACTTACCCAAGTTCACAGCACTAGGAAATGGCAGAGGCAGAATAGAAGCCACGCCCTGTGATCCAGGGCCCACTCACTGCACCACAGCCGTACAGAAAAGATCTCTCTTCAAGACAGACGTATTTAATCATTATTTCTGGAAGAAAACGTTGTTGTCTCTTTCTGTTCTCCAAAACGTTTCTTGGGTTTTATTAATGAGAGTGAAAAATCCAATCCAAAATTCATTTAAAAAAAAACAAAAARCAGTCAAGTTCATTGAACAAGTTTAAACAGATTCTTTCCTACCTACTTGCTGAGCCACTTGACCAAGGCAGGGAACTTGAACCTTGTATCAGCCTTTCTTTTTGGCTGCACTGTGAACTTACTGAGYGGTCTTGGGCAGCATCCTCCCTCTCTGCATCTTAGTTTCCTCATCTTCACCATCTGAGGTTTGGACGGTCTCTGAGGGCCCTTCCGGATCTGACCTACATGGTTTCTCTCATGACATTCTGGAATGAGAATGGGCTTATTTTGCAAGACTATTTGTTAAAAATAAAGCTTAAGTATTCATAGGAATATTCAAAGTCAAGTCGTGGGCTTACTAGGGGAGAGGAGATAGAGGGTTTTAGTTTTCTATGGCTACTGTAACAAATTATCACAAACCTTGGTGGTTTAAAGCAGAAATTTGTCCTCTCYTTTCTGGAGGCCAGAAGTTTGAAATCAAGGTGTTGGCAGAGCTCTGTGCCCTCCAGATGCTCCTGAGGAGAATTGTCCTTCCCTCTTCCAGCTCCTGGTGGCTGCTGGCATTCTTGGCCTGCCTTTGCATAGCTCCAATCTGTTTCTGGTCTCTGTGGTCACATTGCTTTCTCCTCCTGTTCTGTATTAAAAATCCCTCTGCTGCATTTTTGTAGTGACATTGTGATTGTATTTAGGGTCCATCCAGATAATCCATGATGTCCCCATCTCCAGAAACCTATTTGATCATGCTGGCAACAACCCTTTTCCAATTAAGGTAGGATATACAGGTTCCAAGGATTAAGATCTGCTATCTTCGAGGGCTGTTACTCAGCATATTAAGAGTGACCACCGAAAACTCCATTTCATGATGATGCTCCAGTTGTTTTATTTTATTATTATTATTTATATATGATAGTGGAATGCATTACAATTCTTATTAAGCATATAGAGCACAATTTTTCATATCGCTGGTTATATACAAAGTATCTTCACATCAATTCGTGTCTTCCTACCTGTACTTTGGATAATAATGATCATCACATTCCACCATCATTAATAACCCCATGCCCCCTCTCTTTCCCTCCCACCCCTCTGCCCTATCTAGAGTTCCCCTATTCCTCCCATGCTCCCTCTCCCTACCCCACTATGAATCATCCTCCTTATATCAAAGAAAACATTTGGCATTTGGTTTCTTGGGATTGGTTAGCTTCACTTAGCATTATCTTCTCTAAGTCCATCCATTTACCTGAAAATGCCATGATTTTATTCTCTTTTATTGCTGAGTAATATTCCAGTGTGTATATATGCCACATTTTTTWAAAATCTATCCAGTTGTTTTTGGAAGGACATTATCATGCACAAAAGAAACCAAACAATTATGCTGTGGGTATTTGGTAGGGGTGAGGAAGGGAATTGGAGAACATTAAAGTCAGCTGATTATAGTGCGCTTGCTACATAATGACAAGAATGTGTTCTACCTGAAACAAAACAATTGAATTATACTGATGGGCTAGAGCCTGCAGCTCTGCGAACTGGAACAAGACCACCAAAGAACCACAGGTTGGCCAATGAGTAATTTTCTGACACTAACCATTTGCTGTAAAATCAACACCAGAACTCTTCCTTAACCCATCCAATTCCCAGACGTACATTTATAATTATTTTCTTTGAGGAAAAAATAAAGCACACTTTCATTCCCATCAGTACATGTTCTTCAGACTCACAAGAGATTTCCTACCTTATGTCTTGCTTTGGAAATTCACTAATATAAAAAAAATATTCTTAAAAGTCAAGGCCCAAGAGCTGGGGTTGTGGCTCAGTGGCAGAGTACTTGCCTAGCATATGTGAGGCACTGGGTTCTATCTTTAGCACCACATATAAATAAATAGATAAAATAAAACATATTTTAAAAAAAAAAAAAGTCAAGGCCCAAACAATATTAAACCAGAAGATCCCCAACCCCTTGGAAGCATCTCGGGAACTTGAACTCCTGACCGCATTCTGCCATGTGCCTTTGGTTGTCCTGCGTCGCTCAGGCACTGAGAGAGGTCARCCTCGTCTAGCCACTTCATCTCTCCTCTGATTTAGAATAATCTTGAAAAAAATGTCTTATCTCTGCTGCTAAACAGTGAGCTCTTAGATGGCAGGGAAAATGTCTTGAAGAACATAATGGCTGATTTATTGAGCCACGTGTTCCCTCCAGCACTCAGCCCAGTCCCTATAAATCATGGAAGTGATTCTGGCTTTACAGAGAAGAAACTGAATACACAGAGCTGTACAGACAGAATTCATACTCTGTCCCCAAATCACACRGCCTTTTAAAAATCTCTAGCACTTAGTATAGAGTCCAGAATGTGAGAGACTCTGGAGACATAGTCAACGGATGAGAAAAGGCTAGAAGAATAGAAAACTTTAAAAAATGCTTGTTTACATGAAGTGCTAGCCACACCACCTCTGGATTGCTAGAAATGGTGAGGTCAGTGTGTGAGAGAGAGCAAGCAGAGGCAGACTGGGAGAGCCGTGAAGGGCAAAAGGAGCCTACCATGTCCAYGGCAATGTCATAGGCATGGTTGCATTTGATGCTCCCAAAACAGCTGGGAGGCATGAAGTTGTACAAGGAAGAGGATTCTCAGCTTTAGTAATGCAAATATAATTTATGATGTTAAATGACTACAATTCATTTAACACAGGGACAGGATTCAAATCCAAATCAGAAGACTTTTGTCCAGTCCCTTTCCAATCATGCAACACTGCCCTCCTCTGCACATGAACTTTCCTGATAGGCTGCAAATTTCTTGCCTACCAGCAGCTTAAAAGCTCTGAGTCTAGCATTTTCCGCCAGYTCTAGACCAGTCACCACAAGCACACGTGCATATACACATGCAAACTTCCCTTTGTTATATTTACAATATAATAAAATTTCCCTTTGTTATATTTCTCCTCGGGAYGAAGAAACAAGGTAGGGGACCCAGRAATGGTTACGGAACCTATAAAGGGCATAGAATCAGAATAAGTGACATTGTCATCATATTTTTCCCAGATCTCCAAGAATTTTTTCCAATGACTTCTATAAATAAACGGAACATGCATATATATTTCCCATAACATAAGTGAAATCGTAGCTCATTCAATACAGGAATTTATCTTAAGAAATCTCACACATTAGATGTGTGTAAACTTCTGGCCCCCTCATGGTCTTGCCATAGGACCATGGGACAATTACCCCACTTCCCATGGAAAGGGGAACCACAGGATGGTTTTAAGGATGAAGGTGGTCATGAAAAAATTGTCTAACATAGATACAAGCAAATAACATTAATTGACTTATGCAATTAACCAGATTCATATATAAAATGGATATGTGGGCATATTCATTCTTTGAAATGTAGCAACTCTGTTACTTCAGTTCAACATCTCCAGTAAGTCACCAGTTATAAGCTAATTAGATGTGTCTTGCAAGCTCCTCTATTCTATAAACTCTGTGGGACATGCATATTTTTCTTACTTGACATTTTACTCCCAATGTTAAATACAATATCCAGTATGGGGTAAACAGTGTATGGATTGCAGAGTCTGCTGAGAGCAGACAATGCTTTGGGTTGAGTCAAAATGTGAATCTAATCAATTTCAACTTTTACTCATAAGTATGTAAAGGAGGCCTCAAAAGAACCTTTTCAAGTGTATCTTCTAATTCAAACTCCATCATCTGCTCCAATTGTGAGACACTTAAAAATGATGTGCTTTTATCTCACATCATAAAATCAAACTGAAAATTCTGTGTATCAAATTTACAATTCCTAAGTTATCACATACTATTGCAGATATAGGATGAGCAATTGATTTTTGCCTGTTCACTCTCTTCTCCCTTATCAGCCAAATTTTCTGTGGGCAGCCTCCTTCACTTTAGGTCTATATCACTTAAGGGAGCTGATCTCTCTGGGTTCTAGGGCAAAACATGTGACTCAAACTCAACCAATGAAAGTTCAAAAGCATCTTGGCTACCATGATAGGTCCAGAGATGAGCACATGATAGTTATTTCCAGGATTTGGGCTGGACTATTGTAGGAGCAGAATTGYCTTTCAGCAGAGATGGCCATACTGGTAAGATACAAGCTGAAGAATCTGGTGGCCATCTTAATGCTGTAAGAACTTGCTTGAGAATGAAGCCGGTCAGAGAAAAGTAGCCAAGGCAGGTCCCTAAACACATCTTAATATCCATGGCAATGAAATGAGTTCATAAATMTCCCCCACCCTTTTTATTTTTTAGAAAACAAAGGAAGTTTTAAGAATTTGTTTTAAAGTTTGAGACTACTTCCTCAAACTACCAAGAATCTAATAAAAATATCACATGCACCAAAAATTGAAGAAAAGCTGATAGAAGAAAAAAATAATCTATCATTAATTTTTTACTACTGTGTGGGATAAGAGCACTACCATTCACTTTTGACAATTAACTGGGCAGAGTCAATCCTCTGAGCACCTACGATKCGTTGGGCACTGGGTAAGTTCTAATACAGATGTGCCCTGGACTAGTGATTTACTTTGAGGGTTGACAACCTARTGCATGAGGAAAGAAGGATTTTCCTTCAAAGGATCATTGCCCTGTCTTTCCTTGGGCCCAGCATAGAGCATTCAAGTTCCTCTGAATGCATTTATTAAAAAGTGAATTAAAGGTCAGAAGTGGATTTCTCTTAGTCCTTAATTTCCTGTCTGTGTGCCAAGTGCAGRGGTGGGAGGGGCTTGTTAAATACCAGATGAGGATCCATGGACACCGGGAGAATTGCAGACTGCACCAGGTCAGCRGAATCTGGAGGCTTAAAAGCTGGGAGAAGCAGTTCCACATTGCTGTGGGGCGGGGGGCGGTGTCAGGAAAAGGACATTGGTTAAGGGGTTGATCTTTTTTTGAAGCAGGGCTTATTATTTAAGGGAACAAAGGGTGAGAGTGAGAACAGAGAGTCAGAGTTCATTAAACATAAGAGATGGAGAATGTAGAAGAGAAAAATTGATCCCACATCCCATTTGGGGGCTTTATTTTATGATTATCCATCTGAAACAAGACTGTACCACCACTAGATTCTCTCCTCAGGGCTGGATTAGCACAAGGATTCACACCAATTTGGGATTAACCAAGGACTCTGACACTGGCTATCCATATTTGATACCCAGTAAATGATGAACTCTCTGAGACTCACTTTGCTCAACATGAAGTCAGAATGTCAACTTCGTACTCTAGGATGCTGTGAGGGCCCTATGCTAATGCAGCAAAAGCACCTCAACAAACAAAGCTATGGACAGAGTAGAGACACAACAAAAGTCTGGTTTTCTTCTCTCTCTTCTCTGTTTTGTATCATTCAACAAATATATTGAGCCTCTCTCATGGGCCAAGTTGATAGGACAAACACATGACCAGAGTCAGACCAGCTGGAATTTGTATCTTACATCTAGCCATTTACCATTCCTAAGAACTTGACAGAAGTTTGCTTCCTTAAAGTTCAGATTTTTCTTTTTTTGGTGTGTGTGTGTGTGTGTGTGTGTGTGTTGTAAAGGATAGAATCCAGGGCTTTGCATATGCCAGGCAAGTGCTTTACTGATGAGCTACACCCCAGCCCTAAAGTTCAGAGTTTGTTAGAGTTAAAATAGACAGCCTAGCACACATTAGGCACTGGGTTCTATTCTCATCACCATGTWAAAAAATATAACTTGTCCATCTACAACAACCACAACAAAAAGTAACATAATGACTACAACCTAGGCCCCTTGAACACATTGTTAAAAAGATCAAATGACTCAATAAGTTAAAAAAATGCTTTGTAAATATATACACACATGTACATGGATGTGTACTGACAACAATACACATGTGTAAGCATATAGTTACACATATATGTACATATATATGAAAAAAGTTTCATATGCATATATATATATATATATATATATAAATTTACAAGCACTTAAAAATTTACAAGCACTGAAAATCAGTTGATCTTCATGACCTTGAATCTGGCAATGGGTCACCAAAAAAGTGTATAACAGAAGAAAAAAATTGATTGGGCTTCTTCAAAATTAAAAACCTCTCCTCTTATCAAAAAACAGCAAAAAGAAAATGCAAAGCCAATCTATAGAGTAGGAGAAAATATTTGCAAATAATATATCTGATAGAGGTCTTATATTCAGAATATCTAAAGAATTCCCACAACTCAACAGCAAAAAGACAAAAAGCCCTATTTAAAAGAGAAAAATGAGTAGAATAACACTTTCACCAAAGAGGTGAAAAAACTGGCCATCATGCACATGAGATAATGACCAACACCATTAGTCATCAGGGAAATGCAAATCAAAACCACAATGAGCTACTACTCCACACCCACTAGTAAGACTATGATAATTTTATTTTTAAAAAGAAGCAAAGAACAAGTATTGACCAGGATGTGGAGAAATTGGAATTCTCTTACATTGCTTTTAGGAATGTCATATGATTCACTGCTATAGAAAATAGTTTAGCAGATMTTCAAAAAATTAAACATAAATTTTTCATATGACCCCACAAATCTACTCTTATGTCTATACTCAAATAAAATGAAAACAGRTACACAGACAAGTGCATGCACACATAAAAATAATTAGCAGCACTCTCTGTAATAATCAAAAGGTAGAAACATTCCAAAATATCCATCAATGGATAAAAGAACAAATTGTACACACAATCAGGTTATTATTCAGCCCCCAAAAAGGAATGAAGTACTCATACATGCTACAAAATAAAGGAACCTTGAAAACTTAATGTTATGTGAAAGAAGTCAGACAGAGATGTTACATGTTACATAATTCCAACAACATGAAATATCTGGAATGATTAACTTCACAGAGAAAGTTCGAAGATCAGAGGTTGCCGAGGGCCAGGACAGAAGGGACWGGGAGAAAGAGCTTAATGAGTGACAGGAATGATTTTGGAACTAAATAGAGKTGAGGGTCATACGACATTGTGAATGCGTTAAATACCACTAAACTCTTTCACTTTACACTGATTAATTTTGTTGTGCAAATTTCATCTGAATAAATTATTCTTAAGTAGATTGAGAATGTCAATAATGCTCACAGGAGAACCATCAAAGAATTGTTCTACATCTAAATATTTTGTTTTTAAAGAAAATATAGTAGCAATCYTATACATTTTCAATAAACCAAGGATTGCATAAGAAATCAACTAATAATATTATTTTGGAAAAAATAGACAATTATAAGCAACAGGACTCCAAAATTTTTAAACAACATAGCAGAATCATTGCCAATGATATCATTGTTTTATATAAAACCATTACCAAGTGAAACAAAAAAAAAATTAAAACGATCCATAAGATTGCCAAAATGGCATGTAATACTATGACATAATAGCAAGTTTTTCCAAAGTATGTTACTTGTTTATTTTATTATTTGATGAGTYGTGTCCCTGTCTCTACTGAAGAATGTTTTCTCTTCAAATTAAAACTAGCTAAATACTATTTAAAGAACACTAAGTGACAACATTTGTTTCAACTCTAAAGCTCTGTCAGCTGAAAAAATAAAGTCAAAAATATAATTAACTTTGCTCTTGCTAAAACACAATAGATACCACTCTAAGTTTGTTTGCAACTCTGAATTTGTGTCATTTTTATTATGTTTTTAAGTTTATGTAAAAACTACATTGTTGAAAAAATGCTATTTGATAATTAATAAAATTCGGCTTATTTGTATGTATATCAGCCAGAATCTCACTTTTTAAAATTTGTTGTTGTTGTTGTTGTTGTTTTGCTTTGTTTTGTTTTGTTTTCAGACTGGGTCTCACTAAGTTGCCCAAGTTGGCTTCCAACTTGGCAACCCTCCTTCCTCAGCCTTCCCAGGAGCTGGAGGCTGGAATCACAGATATGTGCCACCACTCCCAGCTCAGATCTAACCTGTTGAACAAAACTGCTCTAAGTATCTAAAACAGGAAAAAAAGTTAATATAAGGATTTTCTTACAAAGGTGATAAAAGAATAAGAAGCCACACAGGACACCCCAAGGAACCTTAGAGGGTCAGGAATCAGAGGGCTGCCCAAGAACCCAGGTCACCTGGCTGAAACAGGAAGCATCATCAGTCAAAGGCTGTGGGGGAGATAAAGCCTGGCCGGAGACTCTACCCAACACACAAAGAGAAGAAACACTGCAGCACCTTCCTTCTTCCCACCTTCCAATCTCACCCCCAGTTCTTCTCACTGGGGAAGCCCATCCTGAARGTAGCTGGTTGGTGCAGGAGCCTAGGAGACAGACTTCAGGGACCAGCCTCCTGCAGCATGAGGCCCAGCAGGGAGAGGYCAAGGTCCAACACAGACAGCAAAACTACTTACTGTAGGATGGGTACAGCAACAAATAAATTACACACAGGTGGCAATTTATATTTCGTCTCTGTCCTCAAGGATCTTATCATCTATTGCGTGAAACGGGCCATGTAACAATTAGCTCACTCTTGAATATTTCAACAGATAATAAAAATAGCATATTTACAAAACATTTTCACACTTTTTTTTTTGACTGAGGAATTAAACCTTGAAGAGGTGCCATGGACTTGAAGTTGCCATGACCCTGGGTCCTTCCCTTTCCATCAAACCCTTTTGTTTATACCATCATGGAGTCCTATCTATTTTTCTATTGCTCAAATCATTCACTTATTTACACCCCACAATTATTATTTACATCTTTACTTCCAAGTCTAGTTCATCTCTCTCCTCTACTATTATTACCTTTGGCTACAAATAATTTTCTGTTTTCAACAGTGTTGGTCTCCAATTTTTCATGCAGTCTCAATGATCTTTTTCTTTTTCTTTCTTTCTTTCTTTTTTTTTAGCAAAGATATCATTGTGTTACTTATTTATTCAAACCCCTTCAAATTTTCTCTATTGCTCTGAGTTAAAGACCAAAGTCTTTAATATAACCTAATTAACTTTGCAAAGTCTGGCCTCTACCCCCACTTTCCATTCCCTTTGCAAGCCCTTGCTCTGTAAGCTCCCARCCACACACAAACAGGTCAGTTTTTCCAAAGAGCAAGTTCCCTCTAACCCCAGGGACTTTGCAGGTACTGGTCCAAGGTCTGAAACATAGTCCTCACCTCTCCTGCTCTCACCTCCTAACCCTATTCATGATTCCTATTCATCTTTCAGGAGTTTATGTCCAATATCCCTCCCTCAGGGAAAGTTTCCCTCACTCTCTTTTCCATCCCTTTTATGAAGAAAGATCCCCTTGCTGTAGGGACTAAAATCCACTAATACTTAAATTTGCAGCATTTTCACATTTTATAATTTTATATTTGTCCAGTGGTTGGATTGCCTCTGTCTCCAATATTTGTTTTATGAGGCAGATACTGTCTCTTTCCTCTGTCCTACATCCCCATTGCCTTGCATGGTGTCTTAGCCTGTAGGAGAATTCCAAAGCATAACAAAGGAAGAGGGGAGGAAGCAAGGAGGAAGGAAGAAAAGATGGAAGAAAGGGAGAGACTGCCCAGGGTCTTCACAGTTGAGATAAGAAACAGGATTCAAGGTCTAGACCACTGGTTCTACCAAAATGTTGTATCTCACGGAGCAGGGAGAAAGCATGCACCTCCTCCACACTCTAAATAATCTGAACTTTCTATCCCTAAACTTGCCACTGTAATCATTCTTGCATAAAACATCTTGATGACCCACTCAACACCCTAGTTTGCCCATTCTGGACCACTTMTCTTCTAGTGACGTTCCTCTCTATTCCTAAGTCATAGTGTGAGCCTTGGCATCACCAGCAAATGTACCACCTCCTAAATATCATGCTCAAGCACCCCACTTTCTAACTGTCAACCCCAACTTCTCCTACAGATCCATGCATCTGTTCTTTACCTATGATGATCTCAGCATATCAAGCTTTCTTTGTGTAACATTTTAATAATCCCTTAAAGATACTTCAATTTTTTTTGTCACTTTTTCACCTGACAAAAACCCAAATTCTGACTGAATCCAACTACTTACCTTCTTTCTCCGTGCCTATTCTTATGTGCCGAAGTCTGGCTGGGCATAATACACGAGCCACTTTTCAAGCAGAAACAACTTTATTTTTAGAACACACGTTAGACCACACAAGCTCTTCAGGAATTCTCTCAAAGCCCAACTGCCACCACCAGCTTCCCACAAGCCTCTCAACCCCCGCCCCCCCTCCTCCTGCTCTTGAGGCCGATTGGCTGGGTCATGTGGGCGGAGCCAAAAGAGTCCCCCAATGGGCAGCTCCGTGGTCTGAAAGGGCGGGGAAACAGCCCAATGAGCATCACAGCCCAATGAGCATCACCGCAGAGGAGCCAATCAGCTGGCAGCTGAAAGCTTGCTGTGGTTGCTGTGAGCCAATCATCAGCTGGGAGCTGGAAGTTTGCTGGGGCCCCTTCAGCTGTGGCTCTCAACACTTATGGAAAATTATACAGTTGAAATTCTGTTTTCACTTTAATATTATAATCACAAACCTCGAATCCCAACTGGGCAACACTGCTCAACAATGGAACTCAGTACTGGGGTAGCTCACTTCAAGACACTTCTTTTTCTTCAAGACGCCTTTCCATATTTTTATTTTTAAACTCAATACCTCCTCCTACCATCCTCACAGTCACTTGACAAAGTGCTAAAATGAAGACACATCAGGATGCTTTCTATTTCTTCATCATTAAATCTATCACCTTTCTTGCTTCTCCTCCTCCCTTTCTGCTGTCATGGTCCTGCCTCCTTTCAAGGACCAGGGGCTCAGCCCTCTCCAAGGTCTCATTCCTCATAACCTTCTATTATCTTCCTTCTCTTCTGCACCATCAGTCTCTTCCTCTGTTGAATTATTCCCATGAACATACTCCAAAGTGGTGTTCATCTTAAAAATGTTTAATTCCACACACCCTSTACCTACTGTCATATTTTATTTTTCTTAATGGCAAAAGTTCGCAAGAAATATATATATGTGTCATATGAGTACACATATAGACACACACACACACTGCTATCTTTTCTCTTTCCCTTTCACTCTTCAGTGAACCCTAATCAGCCCTCTGTCCCCACTACCTCAGGAGAACTTTCCCTAACACATTTGCCAATGGTTCGTTCCCCTTTTGTCAAAACCAGAGGGAACAGAGTGCTGCGCTATATTKTTTTCTTAGCAGGATTCGGCCTATCTGATATTTTCCTTAAAACATCTTTTCCTTTATGGCTTCCAAGATAACAGATGGCTCTGTTTTTTCTCTCAACTTCTGGGTTATTCCTTTTGCTTTTTCCCTACCACCAGGACTGCCCATCTACCTACCCCAAGTGGGAGAAGACACTATGAGAGAAGCAGAGAGCTWGAGCCATGCCTACTCACATAACAGAAGTCCTAGCTCTTCAACCAAACAGAACAGGGCTCAAATTTGGAGTCTGCTGTTTGCTACCCATAACATCCCCTAGAGCTCCACCTCCAATAGGGTAGCAATCAATTAARGATGCTCTTTAGATTAAAATTAGTTGAAATTAAATCAATTAATATTCAGTTTCTAAGTATATCAGCCATATTTTGAGTGATCAAAATGTAGTAGCTATCACATTACACGGCATAGATAGAATGTTCTCATTATCAAGAAAATTCTATTGAACAGAAATGATCTTGGAAATAATCTCAGCCTTTTTCTCACAAATATTTAAAGCACAGTGCTTGGCATAGGGTGTATCCTTAATATGTTTTCACTTTATTTCTCAAGGGGTATGTGCCACTTGAGGTCAGAAACTGCAATTAATTATTTTTGTATGYCCAGTGCCTTCCTAGTTCAATTTCAGACTCACAGGGGGTGCTCAGTAAATATATGTTGAACTATATAATGCTTATTCTCCTTATTTTTTCAAATTAAGCTTTCACCTGTTTTCCCAGTGTACTCATTTGTTTTTCATTACCACAATGAAATACCTGAGGCAGGATTTTTAAAAGAAGTACATTAACACAGTTCTGCAGATTTAAGAGCATGGTGCCAGTTCTGGTAAGGACCCTCTTGATTGCCTTTCATCATGACAGAAGCCTATATGTCAGGAAAAGATCCTATCACCAAACAGGAAGACAGAGGGAGAATGGGGTCCCATGATCTTTTCCTAGGGCACTTCTGTAACTGACCTAAGAGCTTCTCACTGGGGACCTACCTCGAAGGTTCTGCCACCTACCAATACTACTGTCCTGGGTACCTAATTCCAACATGTGGACCCTGGGATGGGACATATTCAATCTACAGCACCCACCATGACCTGAACAAAGAATGAAGAGAATAATAAGATTGACTATATTTGTCTATAATACCCACACACACACTATGGAAAGATTTAGTATAGATGCAAGGCTCAATATTTATGGAAGGAAGAAAGGATGGAGGGAGGAAGAGAGGAAGGGAAGAGAGAAKAGGGGGAAGGAAGAAGATTAGTTCTTAACATTTATTTGATGTAATGTGAAGCACTATATTTGTATTACTTAATTTAATACTCATAAAAATGCTATAAAACTGCATTTATCCCCATTTTACTGRTGAAGAAATAAAGACTCAGAAATTCAGAGTCAAAATTCAAGCCCATGTCTGAATTCAAAGTTCATGCTGTCAATTAACACTCCAACCTCCTGTTGTTGAAGAGATGATATTTACTTCCTATCTACTCCAGCAAGTTTTGGTGGTAACAAAATGAGTTAATATATGTGAACACTCACTGTAAAATCTATGAATACCCTGCAAAGTAACCATTGCTATTTTGTGCTTCTCACTATTTAGCACTCTCCTCTGGAGTGCCTGAGTTAGAACACAGGTAAATTACTTAATCTCTCCATGCCAAACCTCARAATCAAAACAATAATGGTAGAATAATAATAGTATGAATGCTGCATGGGATTATTTTGGAGATTATATAAATTACTATATTTAAAGTGCTAAGAAGGGTTTCTGCCCATCTTTAACTTCATGTCAGTATTAGCCACTAATATCACTATTATTACTATTACTATTTCATGTTGAAGGAGCAGGAATGGAAACATCTTAGAACTGGAAAATATTCTGACTAGCAGTAAAGAGGCTAGTTTCCTACTTTTTTCTAAATCAAAGTATTTTAGTCAAGAGCAATGTAGAGGAAGGTAATTTTATTTTGGCTCAAGTTTTAGAGATTCAGTCCACAGTTGSCCAACWCCRGATCTCTGTGCTTGAGGTGAGACAGAACATCATGGTGGAAAACACAGAGGAGGAAAAGAGCTCAGGGCATGGCAATTAGGAAGCAGAGMGATCTCCTCCAGTCACCAAGGACAAAATACAAACTCCAAAGATACACCTCCAGTGACCTACCTCCTCCTGTCATCCGCTACCTACCTACAGTTGCAGTCCAGTTACTCTATATCAGTGGATTAATCCACTAATTAGGTTACATCACTCATAATCTAATTATTTCACCTCTAAACATTCTTACATTGTCTCACAAAAGAATTTTTAAGGGGTACCACATATTCAAACAGTAACAGTAAGCAAACGTGTTCTTCATTATTTTTTTTTTTTCCTATCATTCATTCGGAACTCAGAGAAGACAGTCTGTCTGGAACACGTCAGCATTTTGGAGACAAAGCTCTGATCAGTCTCCACTCAGCCCAGGATTTCATATGCAGCCACCAGATATATGACTCCATGAGGTACCTGGTRTAGTTCACCCCTTCAGTTGGAGGACTTACAGTTGAGACCTAGGTTCTCACAGCCCAGAGGATAGAAAGTGAAGGCTGACCACTAGGTCAATGCCCACTGAGCAGGTAGAAGACATGTTTTAGAAATTTCCAATCATCTGCAACAGTAACTATTTGAACAAAATTTTCCCCTCTGTGGTCTCCTAGAAGGTCCAAAGCCACTTTGTTAATAGTAAGTAAAAGAATGAGAATTAGAATCCATCCTTCACTTTAGTGGTGTTTATTATGTTCGTTGTCCTTAAAAGATGGACTACACTTGGACTTCAGAGAGCTTCTCAGACTTCACTGGGGCAAGAGGTGGGAGTATGGAGACAGAGGAAGCTGATTGAATTTATTATCAAACATGTATTCGATGGTAGAGAATAGTTTCCACAGATGCTGACTCCAGTTTCTGAAAAGTCAAGGGCCCYAAATTTTAGAACCCTCACACACTTGGAATAACACATTTCAAGAGCAATTTCTTGCTTTCTTTCTTTGAATAGCTATGGTGCAACACTGAGAACTGGCATAAGAACTTGCCAGCAACCCCTGCTCCAGGAAAGTCAGGGGAATATGTAATGGGAGTTCTTAGGATAGTAAGTCACTGAGCATCAGCCTCGCAGGTGGGAGGGACTTAAAGTGAGGATGGGTCCAAGACAGATGGAAATCTCCTCSCCCGATACAATCCACTAACTGTGACGGGTGGTGGGGCAGATGAGGAGAACAAGGGCAAGGAACTGTGAAAACTCCAAGATTTTCCTTGGCATTTAAGATGATGATTGTTGAGACAGCCCAGAAAGAAGAAAGTGGGGAAGAGGCAAGCCAGAAAGAAAGGGGAGAAGGGAGAGAAAGCAGCTTCTATTGAGCACTTCTGTGTGTTCAGACCTAACGAGTGGACGTGTTAAATGGATCCTTTCATTTAAGCTTCACTGAAGTCCGTCAGACAGTGGCGATTATTCTCATTTTATAAATAACAAAACTTGAGGTTTCAGAAAAGCATATAACCAGTGTAAGATATRGCAGTCATTAAGTATTAGGATGAAATTCAAACTCAGGTCTTTCTTGCCTTAAAGCTCCCGGTCCCTTGGCTACATCCATACGGAGCYTCAGGGATATGATCACAGAGAATCCTCATAAAGCACCACAAGGAAGATTAATATCACCCCCATTTCCCAAACAAGGAAACTGAGATTCAGAGAGAGTCAAGGATTTGCTGGTAGGATTTCATGGAGAGATCTCAGCTCAGGAGGCAGACAAATCCTAGATCCACACCCCAGTTTTACTCTGTATCAAATAAATGATGGGAGAACAATATGTGCTTTATGAGGATCCAGGGAGAC